AGGCACACTACTCACTGTAGGAGCGAGTCTGGATGAGACCAGGATAAAAAGGAGCAGGACACTGTTACCAATGTCACATACTGGTCCTTGGAATAGGGAAGTGTAACCAAGGCAAATGGAGCAAGTTTTAGACACCACATACATAGAGAGTTCCTACTGTAAGCCAGGCACTTCCCTAGAAAAAGAGGACAGCCTGGTAAAGAAGAGCTCTAAGTCTAAATAAGGCAAACGGAGATATCAACAAAACAAGCCTACTGTAAGCCAGGCACTTCCCTAGAAAAAGAGGACAGCCTGGTAAAGAAAGTGGACACAGTCCCTGTGTTCAAGAGCTCTAAGTCTAAATAAGGCAAACGGACTACAGGATAACAATGTTAAATGTGTGAAAGAATGGTACACCAAGGGAATAGAGGGATATGCCCAAAGACATTCATACATAGAACCAAGATTAACTGATAGCTAAGTAAAGAAGTCAAGGATAAAGAGACTCAAACTGGACCAAGAATGGAGAGGGGCATCATGGGCAGAAGGAACTGCATAAATGACTCCAAAGACAACAAAAAAACCCCACAAGCTATATTCAAAGAACTGAATAGTCCATGTGCAGAGAACATGGGGCAAGCAGAAGTCAGATCTATAGCAGGTATCTGCGGAACAACCACCTGGTCCAGGCAATGTTCTAAGGACATGGAATGCAGATTCCTCCCTCCAGAAGTTTGTATCTTGTATCACTGCCAAACACTTCACTCTTTACCCTCACTGAGAAACCCTCAAAGGGTCAGAGTGAAAGGAAAGGTTTTTCCTTTTCCTGCCCACCTCCCTGCCTCCTAAGGACTGAGGGAGAAATCAGATTTGAGGAATGGTGCTAGGTGCTGGGAGATTATTTAAAAAGCTTTCTCTGTAGAAGATATGATTTATTTTAAAGTGTAGGAAGAGAAATGGAAATGGAACCAGGTAGAGAAACCCGGAAGACATTGAAGAGGAAAAGAAAGATCAGACCATCCTGACAAATTGAAAATGGGTTAGAGAGAGGTGTCAAAGAGACCTGCTCCCTAGCATGCACACAAGCTGAGCTGCCCAGGAAACACAAACAGGGGCAGTTTGTAAGATCATGAACTTATTTACAGACACACTGTCAAAATTTTAAAGAGTTCCATGCTAAACACAAATACTGAGAGTCAATAAGAAAACAGAGAATGACTGAACCCACAGGCAACATTGGGATCAACCAAAAAGTAGGTGTAAAACACACTAAAGCCAGGCTTGAAGCTTAAAACAGGGGAGTAAGATAGATGCCCCACCCAGGGGGAGAGGAGAGCTCACACATGTAATCCTGGTACCACGGAGGTGGAAGCAGGAAGATCAAGAGTTCAGTTTCCACTACATAATGAGTTGGAGGCCAGTCTGGGCTACATGAGACCCTGTAAAAAAAAATAAAACAAAACAACAGTGAATAAATGACTCAGTTAAGAAGAATGAGAATGTCCAGAAGGTAAGCAGCAAACAGACATGTGTCACTAGGAGGATTTAAGATGGGCCTAGAGGGGTTGGAGAGATGGCTCAGTGGTTAAGAGTACCGACTGTTCTTGTAGAAGACCTGGGTTCAAACTGCAGCACCCACGTACCACACATACACACACACACATACAAACACACACACAGAGAGAGAGAGAGAGAGAGAGAGAGAGAGAGAGAGAGAGCAATGTATTCTCATAATAACATTATGTGACATGTATTATTAACCCAGTTTAGAGATGTGGCAGCTGTAGTGCAATCACTTCAGATGAAGTAACTAATTCAAGGTCATGCAGCACCACTACTTAGATGCCTTTTGTGGTATGAGGTTCCTAGGGCTATTTTAGCTGTACTGTAAAAGCACCACTGTAACCCGTCTCCTCTATATGCACTATTACAACAGAAGTTACAGAGTTTTCTCAGTATTATTTAAATAACTGCCTCCTTGCCAGATGTGATGCATACCTTTAATTCCAGCCCCAGGAGGAGGCAGAAGCAGGCAAATCTCTGGGAGACTGAGCCCAGCCTGGTCAATGTAGTGAGCTCCAGGTGGGCTGGGACTAGGGAGACCTAGTCAAAAATAAATGAATAAATAAATAAATAAATAATAAATAGTCTTCTTGGGTAGACATAGAGTTCCAAGGCAACATAGATTATATATGTACTTGGCACGTACTAAATGTCCAATAAAGATAAATAGAACTGGTTTTTGCTTTTGTAAAAAAAATTATAAAATGCCATAACAACTTGAGAGAATAATGTTACTCAAAAATATTATTACATGAATTTATGCAACTGAAATAGAAAACAGACTAGGTATAGAGTTGTAATGACATAGTCAAGGCTTTGTACTTGAGCTTTCTCATCCTTAATAAAGTAACAGTTACACTGTGATGTGTCTGAGAGATTGCATACATACTGTCCTATCTTTGTATTTAAATGTGTGTAATGATAGAAAAAAAAGTTGTGAAGGGTGTATGCATGTAGAATTAGTGGTTACCTCTGGAAAATGAAAGAGTGAAGAAGGCAAAGGACCATTCACCCTCAAAAAAACAAATCCAAGACAAGCAAGCCTTTTGTTTTACAGTTACGAGAGTAAATAAAACACAAAACTTAAATCATATATTAAAAATGCCATAAGTATGTACACTACTAAGATGCATCATCCATACTAAAATTCTACTCGAAAAAGAACCAGGAGAGATTTTTCAGGTCAGATCTTCGTAAGTTATTACATTATTCCCTTTCAATACAACTTAGCTATTTGGGTCAGATCTAAAATAACATACTATAAAACACACACACACACACACACACACACACACACATGCACACACACGCACAGGCACACTCACACACCCAAGATCCAAAGCGTTCTATTGTGAAACCATCTGAGTCACGTCAAACTTTGTTAAGGCAGTTATGCCAAAGATTGGTACAAGACCAACAGGTCTGACACCATGATTTCAAGTTTTAGATGTAGAATGCAAAGGGCCTAGGAAACCTCACTAGGAACAACCAAGCAAAACCTGACGGAACCTACAGGAAAGAAGAGCATCACTCAAAAGCTGACACAGCAAAGCTCACCAGAGACAAAGGAAGGAATAACATTACAGGTTCTTCAAGGAACAGAAACTTTGATATTTCACTGAAGTACATTAAGTTCCTATGGAAGCTTGCAATTTATCAGGAATCAGCTGATACCCCCTAAAATATTTTCCCATGAAACAGTCCTTTACATTATACACACTTCAAATTTCAGTTAGAAGCCTTCCAAGTATTCCAAGGGAGTACCTACCATTCTACAGAATCACTACTCATAGAATTCTGCTGTTCTAAATCTAACTTGACAAAGATTTAGCCTTTCCCATCATGCTACTATATAGTTAATTAACTCCCACACCTAAAAGTTGGAAGATATTTACATCAATTGAACAGTTTTGTAAGGATTTTGTTTTCTTTTGTATGTTTCATTTGGTAAGCAGCTGTTTTTTTTTAAACACCTAGTGGAAGCCACTAGAGGTAGACAGAAAAGACATCCTGATTTCATTTTGAAAGTAGGACTATAATGTTTTATTACTCGTTAATCTGCAAAGACATATTTTGTCGGCAGCTGGCAGGTTAAGCAAGTGTTGGGAAGTCCCTAAAGGAGAAAATCAGGTAACTGATTAAAGTGATTCAATCTTTGTTCTGCTTGAGCCAGTTCCCAGCATCCTCCCTCTATCCCATCCGTCCCTCCCCTCTCCCCCCTCCTACCCTACCCCCCCCCCCCTTCTCCCTGGACTTTACTTTGGTCCCCCCCCGTTGTACTGGGAATTGAATATGGTAGGCAAGCACTCTGTCACAACCTAGATCCCCAGCCCTTTTTATCTTCATTTTCTACAGTGCTATTTCTCTAGAAAACTGTTCATTTTACAGATAAGGAATTTATATGACAGGAGTGCTACTGCAACTGATGCTGAAGTCCCACTCAAGTGCCAAGCTCTCAACCACTGAACACGCTGATCAGAAAATCTGTGAATGATTGTTAATGATATGTAAATTGTGCAACTCTGGTTCTTACTGGAAGGTCAAGGGCTTTGACCTGGTATTCAAAGGAATCCTGCCACACAAAAATCCGTAAGGGCCAATTAAGGAAAACACGTGGATTATTGCATAAGATAGGCCTAACTTCAAAAACATCAAATTTGCTCTTCATCAGCAATGATATGTATCCGCTAAAAAGTGTCCTTTACTCCCCAAAAATGTTGTGAAGGTTAAATAAGATAACATAAGTAAAGTAACATTCTCTAGAATTCTTCATATAGTAATAGATTTTTAATAATGATCAGTGTCTGAAACAAAAGATTTAATGCACAAGCTGATGATACCTAGCCCATATAAAAATAACACTTTATCCAGGTGTGGTAGCACATGCCTTTAGTCCCAGCATTCCGGAGGCAGAGGCAGGCAGATCTTTGTGAGTTTGAGGCTAGCCTATTCAATATAGTGAGTTCCCTAGAGTCTACCACTTCTGCTGGACCAGCTGGCCAGTGGATTCCAGGGATTCTTCTATCTCCACCTCCCCAGAGTTAAGATTATAGGCACACAATACTGTACTCGACTTTTTACATAGTTCTGGGGACCGGAACTCAGATCCTCACACTTGTATGGCAAGCACTTCAACAACTGAGCCATCTCCCCAGCCCTTGGATTTCTTTCTATCCCCCTTTCCCTGATGTAGAAAGATACAAAATCCATGGATGGTGTGCTCAGAGAAATCAAGCTAAACAAAAATCTAACTTCAGAAGACAAGTCTCTAGGCCTATTACCAGAGTGACTTGTGTGTTCGGACATTTAAGGTGACACGGGTGAACTTCAAGCAAGCCAGCTTCATAATCACCGTCACCTTTATCACCTCACATATGCCAAATATGGTAAAGTCTTTGAAGCAGCTAATGCAGCACAGACAACTCTGTACTAAAACTGTAACACTAAAAACCTCTTACCTTGATCATTCTGGAGAGGTCACCAGCATCTGCTAATTCCAAAACTATGTTTAGTTCATTATCTTCAATGAATGATGCATAATATTTAATTACATTTGGGTGATTGAGTTGCTGAGAAAAAAAAAGTGGAAATCAAAATTATTTTATTTTAAATTCCAGAGTCATTTATAGTTTTATAATTTAATAATTTTAATTTAGCTACTGCAACTCGCTTTTAAATTATAGAAATCTTAACACTAACAGCATATTTTTCTTTGCTGTAGTCAATTCTGAAACATTATTAAAAGTAAAACTAGATATGAATACATTTTATTTTAATACTTTTATTAGAAATAGCAAATTATGTACTTAAAATATTTTAAGTACTGCTATGCTTAGTACTTATATAAATGCAGTAAGTGAATGGCAAAACTGAATCATTAATTGCTAAAAATTATAAAAAATGACAACAGTAAAAGTATCTCTTTAAACTCTTACTTTAAAATTAGAGGTATTCCTAGCACAAGTCTGTTCAGCTCAAAACTACAATTTAGGGGGCTGGAAAGATGGCTCAGTAGTTAAGCGCACTAGCTCTTACAGACAGACAACCCGGGTTCATTCCCAACACCCATGTGGCAGCTAACAACCATCCAAAACTCCAGTTCTAAGGGATCTGAATCTCTCTTCTGGCCTCCAGGGGCATTGCACATATATGGTGCTTTTTTACATACAAGCAGGCAAAATTCTCATACACATAAAAATAATTTAAGAAAATTAGTATCCACCACTGTATCTAAATACTTTTTTACATCAAATAATATAAATATGTAAATCTCTGTGAGTTGATTCAAAAGAGAAATTTTAGTATGTAAAAATACACTCAGCAATCTGTATACATTAATAATTTAAAATTTTTAAATATCAGTCTTTAAGCAAGTCAACACAAGGCATATATTCTCTTAAATAATTTTTTATGGATTATTAATGATTTTCTTTGTATCAGAAGTTTTCTTCCATGCTATCCATAATGAGGCTGTTTCTATAATAAAGGATTATTAAACACATTTATTTAAACCAGTTACTTCAAATATTAAGAAATAACTATAACCACTACCAACATAAGAGTGGGAAAGTATAGCTTTGACATTATTCTTATCTTTTTGGATAAAACTAATGTTTTAGGAACAAATACAGATGGCATAAAACACCAAAACTTCTCTTTTCTTTTAAAGACAAGTTCTGGCTTTATAGCCTAGGACCCTCCTGTCTTAGCTTCTCAAGTGCTGATATCACAAGTGTCACCGTTACATCTGACTGAAAATGCAAAGTTTTATCTAAAGATTAAAAATATATATCATAAGTCATTTCATGAAAGAACTTCACTAACAACAAAATATTGAAGAGGTAACTGGAGCATCAATCAAATACTTAAGTGGATAAAGAACTAAAATGTTAATTTCTGACATGCTTATTTATATTCACTTTTTCTAAATTTTCAAAAAAGATGTAAAGAAATACTATTTTAAAACATGAACCATTTGGGTTAGTACAGGTTCTCAATATGAACATCTTGAGATGACAAATATGACTTATATTACTTAACTTTTTAAAAATGCCTATGTGGAATGGTCCATTAAAAAAAAAAGTCGTCAGTATTTTATGCCCATTTATCATTTACTTATTGTTTTGAAAAAACTGATTCCATCAAATATTATGATTAAATTATTTTATCTAAATCAAAAATACTAAATGCACTCTTCAATATATACACACTTTAACTGACACAATGTTCCTTAAAACCAGTGTATGATAGAGGAAGTCTTAACAATTGTTTTACTTAGTATATTTGATCAATCACTCTATCCACATGTTCAGAAATACCAACAATAGCACATTGTTCATTATTTACCTTAAGGAGATCTATTTCTTTGATACAATCAGCACGTGCTTTGGCATCCATTAAATCAAATATCTAAAAGTAGAATTTAGAATCATTTAGTAACCTATGCTTTAAGGTAATATGTAAATTCTTCAAAATACATACATACACAGAAGACAATTTTATTTGCATTCATTTACTGTGAAGATCTCAAGCTTCTCTGACAGGCAAACAGTGGTAAAAATGGAAGAAGAGAACAGCCAGGCATGCAGGGACACTCAAGTCAACTGCACAAATGACCAGAGTGGGGGAAATGGTCACTAGGACAGTATGGTAATAGTAATGGCACATCAATAGTTACCGGATGCTGAAGGTATTTCACAAACCACTTCATCTGATTCTTATTTAACCCTTACAAGAACAACAGTATTCCCATGTTGCAGAGGAAGAAAAGGATAATTACAAACTTTAAGGGACTAACAAAGGGTTACACAGTTCATTGACAGCAAACAGAAGGTAGGGATGACAGGATTTTATTCTTTTAAATACAAAGTGCAAGTAAAAAAAGTGCACAATCAGATACTGTCTTTCACATTAAGTTTTCCTGAGGAGGAATTAGGAAAAAACTGCAAAGGAGACATACTATAATGAATGCTGAGGAAACAGTGAAGTGGAAACATGAAAATAATACAGTCAAAAGGGTGGTTTGTGTTTCTTTGAAAAAAGGAAGAGATTTCTTAGGGCTTTAAGTGTATGAGAACAAACAAACAATCTTAGATATTACAGAAAATAACTGAATAAGTCAATACTGAAAACTGATTAAACCTTATATAACAGTATTTTTAAAGTTAATGGTTATTTTTAGTCAACAATTTCAATTAAGTCCTACTGCTTAACTTGGAAAAGTAGGTCAACCCGACGAATCTTTTCAATAGGGAAGGAACCACTGAACACCTACCAGTGAACACTGGCCTCATAACCTGTGTTGTTTTAATCTTCACACAATCTTACTAGGCAATGCTGACTCTATAAGACAGAAATGAGGACGAAGACACATAGCTTGTAATAATATGCTGATAGCCATAAAACAGGTAACAGAACTGAGACTCGAAGCCCAAGTCTTTCAGCTAGCTCCACAGCCAATGTTTTCTCATTCTGACTAGGACGTTGTGAATTTGTTTTTTATTGTTTGTTTGTTTTTAATATTTTATTTATTATTTTTAGTTTATGTGTATGAGTGTATTGCCTGCGTGTAAGTAAGTGCACCCCTGTCATGCAATGCCCACGGAAGACAGAAGAGGCTGTCGGATCCCTTGGAACTGGAGTTAGGACAGTTGTTAGCTGCCATGTGGGTGCTGGGATTCAAACCCAGGACTTCTGCAAGAACAACCAGTGTTCTTAACCACTGAGCCATCTCTCCAGGCCCGAATTCATTTTTTAAAAATATATTTTATTTATTATTTTTATTTTATGTGTATGAGTGTATTGCCTACATGTGTGTAAGTACACCCATGTCATGCAATGCCCAGGGAGGTCAGAAGAGGGCATTGGGAACTCCTAGAACTAGAGTTAGGACAGTTGTTAGCTGCCATATGGGTGCTGAGAATGAACCCAGGTCCTTTGCAAGAGCAGTCAGTGCTCTTAACCCGAGTCATCTCTCCAGCCCCCAAACTGTGAATTCTAATATACATAGAGAAGTATTAAAACGTGTGCCAAGTACAATATCAGAAACCTAAAGAAGGGCTCTCTCTGTGGGAAAGGGACAGCACTAAAGCTAAAAAGAACTAGAGGGTTCTACCCACCATAAATGAAAGTCATCTGACTCACAAAATAGAGGATAAGAGTATGTAACTATAGCTAATAATACAAAGCAACTTTTAATAGATATCCTTTTTACATTACTTAAGAGATGAACGAAGTTCTGATTCTTATTTAAACAAAATCAATGCAACATGGTCACCAGAGGTTAAGAATGGGTTAGGTGTTTGATAATAGATAACTAGACACGGTTACATAAAAGGTGTATAGAAATAGCACAAACTATGACGAAAACTATAACACAATAATTCATTACGTATTTTAATGAAGAACTAAAAGAGAGGAGTTTGCAAAATAGTGATAGTAATTATGCTGGTCTGATCACTGCATGCTGCATACATATAGTGAATTATGACAGTGTACCCCACAAAGATTTATAATTATACCTCAAATAAAACATAGTAAAAATCAATGTGAGGATAGTAATTAAAATGTAAGACAAATATAAAATACATAAACTTATTAAAGAACTACAGCTCAGTCCCTCCCATCTAGTATAGCAATTACACTGGGTTTATAGCTGACCAGCTGAGGGCAGGGGAGAGAGCAGGGCAGTGGGAGAACAGGGGAGGTTAGCTTTGCCAACAGTTAGGTCCTCTATATAGGAAATGTTGGTAAAGTGAGAAAATAGGTCTATATGACTAGGCACCAACAGAAGGGGTAAGAACAAAACAGCCATGAGCATTAAAGTGTATACAGTGTCACACTTAATTGAAGGAAGGAAAATCCTAATACACCTCAGTGTTCTCCAAAATCATCATAGCTTCATTTTACACAGAGATGATTAATACGAGTATCTTGATTCTAGATACAGACTATCTTAAACTGTTCATGACCAAACCCTCTGTCTTTCATAAAGTGATGTTGGATGCCATCTTATTATCACAAAAAAGAAAGCAAGCTTGCAGACCCTTGAAGATGCATTCTGTGAGGTGCAGAACAGACTAGAGCCCAGATGATCAGAGTGTGGTATGAAGGGTGTCACTTATTCAAAGTGATGTAAGAAGCTCAAGGGGTAGAGGAGTATGATTGGCAGGGCTCTCAAATACTTGATCTGTACAAGCAAACACATGCAATGCCCTCAAGGGTTTTATAAGAAGAATCAGCACACTCCAAAGTTCTTCACTTAAAGGAGTAAGATTTATATTTAGTAATTTCTCATTCATTCATCAAACGGCAAAAACATGGACAACAGGAAAATGATGTCACTAGTACATGGCATGTTAAACAACACAAACCATCATGCAAGCAGTGAAGTTTGAACTTGATACTAGTTAGTTATGAAATTGACAGAAAACCAGTAGTAAACATCAAAATGGGGCCAAGGATGTAGCTCAGTTGGAAGACTGCCCAACATGCATGAAGTCCAGTGTCCCAGCACCGGCACCGCATAAACAGGCATGACAATCAATGTTTACCAGCAGGAGGTAAGAGAACCAGAAGTCCAACGTCAGTTACTCTCATAATATTTGTGCCACTACTGCACGTGTGCGCCTACCTTGCCAGTTGTTGATATAGCTTGCAAGTTTCACAGCTGAGTAAAGCTGGTGAGAAATGTTTCTCTTCATGTAGCATGCCTAGCACTTTCCAGCACTATGAACACTAGCCAGCAGAGATGAGGCTCTGAAGTCAGCACTAGCTTGAGTTTTCCTTGTTTGTTCTAGAGCTTACATATGCAGTGTCTTCAGCAATAGGATCTTATCTTGAGGTTCTGGCTGGTTATCAAGAGCAGGAGCAATGGCCAGTATTTTAGGAGGATCTCATTAACAGCATCAAAAGAAGGAGTCCTCATGGCACTGAAGTAACGAGCCACTCTCTAATTAGATTTAAAGCTCACTTCATAGGATGGAGCCCATACGTGACCTGAGGTTAGATAGGTTGCAGGACATAGAACCTAGTACTATTATTCTGCTAAATAGATACAGTATTAAACTAACTCCTAACAACTTATTGTCATACCCACAGGTTAATGCATCTCTCAACTCTCAGCAGAGAAGCTTCCTTATGGAGCAAATGGTGATTAACACAGAGAACCACAACTGGCCAATGTGCAGAGAACAAGAGGCTGCAGAGTGTTTATCACTGAATAGGACACCTATATCAAACTTCTGCCTCCAAAGACTCAGGGATCATTGGAGAAGAGGGGGTAAAAAGATTGTAAGAGCCAGATGGGGGTGTAAGGAAAGCAAGCACTTTGTCACTGAGCTTGGGGGGACTGTAAGGAAAGAGAATTTTACTGACATCTGGTCAGTTACTCGCATATGAATCCACAGAAATGGTGACAGCATGTACAAGTCACACATATGTTCAAGCCAGACAAAATCCTAGTACAGACATGGGGAAGTAGGTAAGAAACTCCAATCCTACCTGAGGAAGTATTGGTAATGGATGGCTGCTGGGATGGGGAGAGTCAGTTTCATTTAAAGGTGAGAAATATGGCCTCCGTAGAATGTATATTTTATATAATATATATGTACACACACATGCACAAAATTGGGCAAAGAGAGTAAGGGGAGGGGAGTAAACATGATCAAAATACATTGCATAAAATTCACAAAAATTCAATTAAAAAGAGAAATAAGGAGTCAAATTATAGTCATTTTCCTGTGTTTTCTCAAGATTTAACAAAATCATAGATAATGTCCAACTGGGAATAAAGTAAAATAGGATGTTTAAACTGTAAACTTCAGAGGAAGGAATTAAAATTCACACACTTTCTCATTATGCACAGAACCTTCATGTGTCATTTGGTGGTTACTCTTCTTTTTACCAAAGTTAATCCTTTTTGTTTAACAAGTGTTATGCTAGAAGACAAGCAGCAGAGTTCTTTCTAAATGTTTCAAACGTTACTATGTGATACCTCTGTATTGGCAAATGTGATTTGTTTACACAAAAGTTCAAAATGGGCAAAGAAGAAAAGATTTTTTTAAAAATGGGACCAATTTAAAGTTTAACAAATACAAATCTGAGGATGTGAATCAGTGACAAAGTGCTTGCCCTGTGCACAAGACCCTGGGTTTAATCCCCAGCATTGCAAAGAAAAAAAAGCATAACCAAGATAAATGTCTAAAACTGTAGTGTAGAAAGACAGTCACCAGCCTCATATGAAAATTGAACCCACAACATAAGGCCAGTCTCAACTGACTTAATTATGAAAACAAAAAATAAAATATTTTTTATATTGGTTAAATGGAGAAATAGTATTTTGTACATATTATGCTACATAAAATGCATCACTAAATTAATTCTACTTATTTAAAAAAAAAAAAAAAGAA